GCGGGTGGACACCTGAAGTCAGGAGTTCAAGACCAGCCTGGCCAACATGGTAAAACCCTGTCTCTACTAAAAAATACAAAAATTAGCCGGGCGTGGTGGCAGGCGCCTGTAGTTCCAGTTATTGGGGAGGCTGAGTTAAGAAGAATTGCTTAAACCTGGGAGGCGGAAGTTGCAGTGAGCCAAGATCACGCCACTGCACTCCAGCCTGGATGACAGAGCAAGACTCCATCTCAAAACAAAACAAAGAAATAAAAATAAATAAACAAGTTAAATTAAATGTAATAAAATATTTTTATTTAATTCCAATATCCAAAATATTATCATTTCAGCAAGTACTCAATATAAAAAATTATTGACTTGGTGTTGTGCCTCACACCTATAATCCCAGCACTTTGGGAGGCCTAGGCAGCAGAATTTCTTGAGCCCAGGAGTTGGAGACCAGCCTGGTCAATATAGTGAGACCCTGTCTCTATAAAAAAAGAAAAGAAAAAAAAAAAAAAAAAAGCTGGGGCTGGGCGCAGTGGCTCACGCCTGTAATCCCAGAACTTTGGGAGGCCGAGGCAGGCAGATCACCTGAGGTCAGGGGTTCAAGACCAGCTTGGCCAACATGGCGAACCCCGTCTCTACTAAAACTACAAAAATAAGCTGGGTGTGGTGGCTCACGCCTGTCATCCCAGCTACTTAGGAGGCTGAGGCACAAGAATCACTTGAACCTAGGAGGCAAAGACTGCAGTGAGCCAAGATGGCGCCACTGCACTCCAGTCTGGGTGACCGAGTGAGACTCTGTTTAAAAAAAAAAAAAAATTGGCCGGGCGCGGTGGCTCAAGCCTGTAATTCCAGCACTTTGGGAGGCCGAGACGGGCGGATCACGAGGTCAGGAGATCGAGACCATCCTGGCTAACACGGTGAAACCCCGTCTCTACTAAAAAAAAATACAAAAAACTAGCCGGGCGTGGTGGCGGGCGCCTGTAGTCCTAGTTACTGGGGAGGCTGAGGCAGGAGAATGGCGTGAACCCGGGAGGCGGAGCTTGCAGTGAACTGAGATCCGGCCACTGCATTCCAGCCTGGGCGATAGAGCGAGACTTCGTCTCAAAAAAAAAAAAAAAAAAAAATTTACATATATATATATATATATATGATTCTTCACTTCAAGATGTTTATAATCTATCCAGGGAGATGAGCCATGCACAAAATACATTCACAGATCCAGTGAGTCTCCCGAAAAATGAAAAAAATAATTTTGAAAAAATGAATTAAAAACAGAACAAAAAATAAAATACACTCATAGAATGTGGCTAGGGCAGGGCATGGTGTCTCACACCTGTAATCACAGCACTTTCGGAGGCCAAGGTGGGAGAACTGCTTGAGCCCAGGAGTTCAAGACCAGCCTGGACAACATAGGGAGACCCTCGATCTTTACCAAAAAAAAAAAAAATTAGCCAGGCATGGTGGTATGCCCCTGTGATCCCAGCTACTTGGGAGGCTGAGGTGGAAGGATCGCTTGAGCCCAGGAGGTTGAGGCTGCAGAGAGCCGTAGTCACACCACTACCCTCCACCCTGGGCAACAGTGAGACCTCATCTCTCAAAAAAACAAACAAACGCCAGACATGGTGGCTTACGCCTCTAATCCCAGCACTTTGGGAGGCTGAGGCGGGTAGATCACAAGGTCAGGAGATCAAGACCATCTTGGCTAACACAGTGATACCCCGTCTTTACTAAAAATACAAAAAATTAGCTTGGCGTAGTGGCGGGTGCCTGTGGTCCCAGCTGCTCAGGAGGCTGAGGCAGGAGAATGGCATGAACCCGGGAGGTGGAGGTTGCAGTGAGTGGAGATTGCGCCACTGCACTCCAGTCGGGGTGACACAGCGAGACTCCGTCTCAAACAAAACAAAACAAAACAAAAACAAGGCCAGGCACGGTGGCTCACTCCTGTAATCCCAGCACTTTGGGAGGCCGAGGCGGGTGGAACACCTGAGGTTGGGAGTTCGAGACCTGCCTGACTAACATGGAGAAACTCCATCTCTACTAAAAATACAAAATTAGCTGGGCCTGGTGGTGCATGACTGTAATTCCAGCTACTCGGGAGGCTGAGGCAGGAGAATCGCTTGAACCCGGGAGGCGGAGGTTTCAGTGAGTCAAGATCGCACCATGGCACTCCAGCATGGGCAACAAGAGCAAACCTCCGTCTCAAAAAAATAAAAATAAAACATAAAAGATAGCATATGACTCAAGTGACTGCTCCAATGAGAGCTATAAAAGAAAATAACAGCTAATAGTGGCCGGATGCTGTGGCTCACGCCTGTGATCCCAGCACTTTGGGAGGCTGAGGCAGGTGGATCACAAGGTCAGGAGTTTGAGACCAGCCTGACTAACATGGTGAAACCCCATCTCTACTACAAATACAAAAATTAGCCTGGTGTGGTGGCATGCACCTGTAATCCCAGCTACTTGGGAGGCTGAGGCAGGAGAATAGCTTGAACCCAGGAGGCGGAGGTTGCCGTGAGCCAAGATCGCGCCACTGCACTCCAGCCTGGGCAACAGAGCGAGACTCCATCTAAAAAAAAAAAAAAAAAAAAAGCTAATAGCTACTGCTTATTAATGCCTACAGACCAGGCACGATGGCTCACGCCTGTAATCCCAACACTTTAGGAGGCCAAGATGGGAGGATGGCTTGAGGCCAGGAGTTTGAGACCAGCGTGGGCAACATAGTGAGACCCCGTCTCTAAAAAAATAAATAAAATTAGATAAAAATAAAAGAAAATAAAAATATTAAGTGCTTACAATAAGCCAAGCGCTACGCTAAACGCTTTATAACCATCTCATTTGATTTTGGCAAACTTCTTTGAAAGTACTATTATTTATCTCTATTTTACAAAACAAGGAAGCTGAGGCTCAGGGAGGGGAAGTGAATTACCCAAGGTTGCACAGCTGCGTAGTGGCAAAGTACAGGAGTGAGTCCCATCCTAAGCTCTAGGCATCATATCCTTATCAGAGAAACTCATCCCTATAATCCCCAGGCCTCCTTCAGGTATTATCATATTGTTTAGCCATTTTCTGTCTATCTCCCCTACCTTTTCAAAAAAATTTACCCTTCTTCAAAATACCAGCTAAAATCTGGGTAAACCCTATGGGGTCTCAAATGACCTGTAATTCACTGGACTTTCTATGCTGCAGTTAGTGTCTGTATAGGAAAAGAGAGGCCAAAGAAGTTCACAGCCTCCTCTAATCATTACAGCACTTGAGAGCTGGTCACTCTGCCCAATCTTGTGCATCACCAGGTCGATCAGGAGGCACATGCTAAACCCTAGGGCATATGCAATTCTAATAACTGCCAGAGTGCTATGCAAGGCCCAGTCCTTGTCAATCTTCTTTTCCTATTTAGTACACTCTTTCAGGATGATCTCATTCAATGTCATGGCTTTTAGCTACCATCTATGAGGCTATAGTTTTGAAATCTCTATCTGTAGCCCATTTCTTTCCCCTGAACTTTGCCATTTGGGTGTCCCATAGACACCTGATGCTCAATGTGTCTACATATGAACTCATCTTTCCTGTCTCACCCACACTGCTCTGTGTTTTCTAGCTTAGAGAAAAAAAGTGCTGCAATAGCCACCCAAGGTAGAAATCTGGGCATTTGTGACTCCTTCATCTCTCTGTCTCTACCTCTGGTTAGTCATTAAAGAATTCTTTTACATATATATATATATATGTGTGTGTGTATATATATATGTATATATTTATTTATTTATTTATTTTAGGACAGAGTCTTGCTCTGTTGCCCAGGCTGGAGTGCAGTGGCACAATGTCGGCTCACTGCAACCTCCGCCTCCTGGGTTCAAGCGATTTTGGTGCCTCAGCCACCTGAGTAGCTGGGACTACAGGCGTGTTCCACCATGCCCAGCTAATTTCCTCTTTTACATTTTTAAAATCTTTTTCTGACAGTTGTTTCTCAGCCGGAGTTGTACTAAAGCACCTAACTGGTCTTTTTTCTTTAATTTTTTTCCAGACAGGATCTCCCTCTGTTGCACAGGCTGGAGTGCAGTGGCACTACCTCAGCTCACCGCAACCTCTGCCTCCTGGGCTCAAGCAATCCTCCCACCTCAGCCTCCCAAGTAGCTGGGACTGCAGGTACAAGCCACTACGTTCAGTTAATTTTTGTATTTTTTGTACAGGGTTTCACCATGTTGTTCAGGCTGGTCTTAATTCCTGAGCTCAAGCTATCTGCCCGCCTTGGCCTCCCAAAGTGTCCCTGGGATTACAGGCCTGAGCCACCATGTCCCGCCTGGTCATTTTTCTCTAGGCTCTCTCCTTTCCCAAACTTTTCTCCATGTTGCAACCAGGGTTCTTTTAAAGCTCACACGTGTTCTTTTAGTCTGGCACTGCAGAGTACTCCTGGATCTGGACCTACTTCTTTTCCAGACTTTTAAATTTTTATTTATTTTTTATTTATTTATTTTTTTGAGACAGAGCCTCTCTCTGTATCCCAGGCTACAGTGCAGTGGGCGATCTCGGTTCGCTGCAACTTCTGCCTCCCACGTTCAAGCGATTCGCCCACCTCAACTTCCCTAGTAACTGCGATTACAGGCGCGTGCCACCATGTCCGGCTAATTTTTGTATTTTTTTTTTTTTTTTTTTAGACGGAGTCTCGCGCTGTGTCACCCAGGCTGGAGTGCAGTGGCGCGATCTCGGCTCACTGCAAGCTCCGCCTCCCAGGTTCACGCCATTCTCCTGCCTCAGCCTCCGAGTAGCTGGGACTACAGGCGCCCGCCACCACGCCCGGCTAGTTTTTTGTATTTTTAGTAGAGACGGGGTTTCACCATGTTAGCCAGGATGGTCTCGATCTCCTGACCTCGTGATCCACCCGCCTCGGCCTCCCAAAGTGCTGGGATTACAGGCTTGAGCCACCGCGCCCGGCCTAATTTTTGTATTTTTAATAGAGACGGGGTTTTACCATCTTGGCCAGGCTGGTCTCAAACTCGTGATCTCAAGTGATCCACCTGCCTCGGCCTCCCAAAGTGCTGGGGTTACAGGCGTGAGCCACCGCGCTCTCAGTTCTTTTTTCTTTTTAAGCCCGTTATAATCTCTGTAAGTCCTATCAGTTCCAAGAGACTTTCTGCACAAATACATCTCCAGGTTGTCAAACCTAAAAATATTTTCCTAGAGGATGGCCTGTGACGTCAAGGCGCCAGGTAGCCCCCGGAGGAAAGCTCCAAAGGAGGCCGCCATCTTTCTTACAGCAGCCCGGCATTTTGCGCATGCGCTTCTGATTGTCTGTCCGCAATGACGCTCTTCGGCCTTCTCGGCACCCATACGTTTGGGAACGGCAGTTTCGAGGTTTGTGAGACTTCGGCTTCCGACCGGAAGTGAGAAGAGCAGGAAGTTGGTTGGTTGCACCGGTCTGGGGGCTTCCCGGGCTCCGGTAACCGGAGGACTGGGATCTAATCGTCGCTCAAAGGCTCCTAGGTGCGCGGGTGCATATAATTCCCGACTTCTCGAGAAGACACTAGAGCCTCAAGGAGGTGTGCTTCTAGTGTTTAAGTGGACACGTGTTGTGGATGCTGGCTTAGAAGGACCTATATACCATCATTTTAAAATAACTTCCTCTTGGCTCTCTTTTTTTTTTTGAGACGGAGTTTCGCTCTTGTTGCACAGGCTGGAGTGCAATGGCGCGATCTCGGCTCACCACAACCTCGCCTTCCGGGTTCAAGCGATTCTGCTGCGTCAGCCTCCCGAGTAGCTGGGATTGCAGGCGCTCGCCACCAGGCCTAGCTAATTTTTTGTATTTTTAGTAGAGACGGAGTTTCTTAATGTTGGTCAGGCTGGTCTCGAACTCCCAACCTCCGGTTGATCCGCCGGCCTCGGCCTCCCAAAGTGCTGGGATTACAGGCGTGAGAAACCGCGCCTGGCCTTGACTCTCTTTAAAAGGCATTTTTAGGCTAGCCGCAGTGACTCTCCCTCCTGTAGTCCCAGCTACTCGGGAGGCTGAGGTGGGAGGATCGCTTGAGCCCAGGAGTTCGAGGTTATAGTGAACTAGGAACTCCCCCACTGCACTCCATCCTGGGCTACAGAGCGAAATCCTGTCACCAAAAAAGAAAAGGGTATGGGGGAAAGGCATTTTCAGAGCGATGGACTGCCTAGATTCTAGTTTGGTCCCAACTCTGCTACCAAGTTGCTGTGTGTATCCTGTCCCTCTCTGAGTCTCAATGTCCTCATCTATAAAAATGAAGGTCCCTTAAGACACTTTTCAGTTCTTCTGAATTTTGTTGCCTCTTTATTATCTCGTTTGAGCCACATAACCTTGGGAGTTAAAAATCATTGGCCTTTGGCCGGGCGTGGTGGCTCACGCCTATAATGCCAGCACTTTGGGAGGCCGGCTCACCTAAGGATCATCTGAGGCCAGGAGTTCAAGGCCAACCTGGCCCACATGACAGAACGCTGTCTCTACTAAAAATATAAAAAAACATTAGCCGGGTATGGTTGCGGGTGCCTGTAATCCCAGCTACTCGGGAAGCTGAGGCAGGAGAATCGCTTGAACCTAGGAGGCGGAGGCTGCAGTGAACAGAGATTGCACCATTGCACTCCAGCCTGAGCGACAAGAGTGAAACTCTGTCTCAAAAAAAAAAAAAATTGCTGGTCTCATTTTATGAGGAAGACATTGAGTCCCAGGGTGAGGGGTTATAGACAGGACTTTCTCAAGATTGCACAGGTAACTTGGAGGTTTCAGAACTTGAGACTAGAAGGCAATGCTGTAACTCCATGACCAGATCTCCTTTTTATATTTCTGTATCATCAGTTCCTGGAACTGGCCATGTAAGACACTGAAATGTTTTTAAATGAATGAATCTTTTGATTTGAAGGCCAGTGCCACAACAGATTTGGTCTCTCTCGACTACTCTGATGTATAAACAAGTGAACTCTTTTCCAGGTATATCCCGTGCCTTACCTGACTGGGGGCTCTGAGTCCAGTTGTGTTGTCTTCAACTTAGACACCATGGAGGCACCTCCAGTCACCATGATGCCTGTCACTGGGGGTACCATTAACATGATGGAGTACCTATTGCAGGGTAAGTGAACCAGGGAACTTGGCTTACCTGTTTTCCTCTTCTCTGTTCAGCTTCCCTTAAGATGAGAGACTTAACACAAAAGCAGCCTGCACAGTTTCTGGCACCCAACTATGTTTTTAACTGTTACTTTAAATTACAGTTTTACATGCACTAAACATATTAAATCTGCCATCTTGGCCGGGTGCAGTGACTCACGCGTGTAATCCAAGCACTTTGGGAAGCCAAGGCGGGTGGATCACGAGGGCAGGAGATTGAGACCATCCTGGCTAACACGGTGAAACCCCATCTCTACTAAAAATACAGAAAGAAATTAGTCCGGCGTGGTGGCGGGTGCCTGTAGTCCCAGCTACTTGGGAGGCTGAGGCAGGACAATGGTGCGAACCTGGGAGGCGGAGATTGCAGTGAGCCGAGATCGCGACACTGCACTCCAGCCTGGGAGACAGAGCGAGACTCTGTCTCAAAAAAAAAAAAAAAAACTTAACATATTTACGTGTACAGTTCAGTATTGTTAAGTATATTAACATTGCTGAACAACAGATCTTTAGAACTTTGGTTTATTGTGAGTAACTTGAAAAAATACTTAGTACAACTGTTTTTTTCTTTGAGACAGAGTCTCGATCGGTCACCCAGGCTGCAATGCAGTGGCATGATAACAGCTCATGCAGCCTTCACTTCCCGGGTTCAGTGGATTCTTGTGTTTCAGCCCCCCGAATAGCTGGGATTGCAGGCGTGCATCACCATGCCCGGCTAGTTTTTGTATTTTTAGTAGAGAGTTGCAGTTTCATTATGTTGGCCAAACTGATCTTGAACTCTTGCCTTCAAGTGATACACTTGCCTTGGCCTCCCAAAGTGCTAGGATTACAGGGATGAGCCGCCACGCCCAGCCTAAAATGCTCGTTTATCATCCTATAAAACTGCAACTCTTTACCCCTTAAACACTAATTCCCACTCCCCTCTATGCCAAACCCTCAGCAGCTATCTTTCTAGGTCCTGTTTCTCTGATTTTTTTTTTTTTTTTAAGATGGATTCTCACTCTGTTGCCCAGAATGGAGCACAGTGGTGCAATCTCAGCTTACTGCAGCCTCCACCTCCCAGGTTCAAGCAATTCTCCTGCCTCAGCCTCCTAAGTAGCAGGGTTACAGGCATGCACCACCATGGCTAGCTAATGTTTGTATTTTTAGTAGAGACGGGGTTTCTCCACGTTGGCCAGGCTGGTCTTGAACTCCTGACCTCAGGTGATCCACCTGCCGTGGTCTCCCAAAGTGCTGGGATTACAGGCGTGAGCCACTGCGCCAGGCCAGATTTTGTCAACAAGTATCTGAATATGTTCCAAACATTTGAGCCATAGCCATGGAGGGAGAAAGATGACTAAAAAATAATGTATGTCAAGCCAGCTATTACAGGCTTATGACTGTAATTCCAGTCGTTTGGGAGGCTAAGGCTGCAGTATTGCTTGAGTTCAGGAATTCAGGATCAGTCTGGACAACATAGCAAGAACTCACCTCTACTGAAAATAAAGAAAAATTAGCTGGGCATGGTGGTCTCTACCTGTAGTCCGAACTACTTGGGAGACTGAGGTGGGAGGATCACTTGAACCCCCAAGATGGGGGCTGCAAAGAGTTACAATCTTGCCACTGCTCTATAGCCTGGAGACAGAGCGAGACCCTATCTAAACAACAACAACAACAACAAATCTATGCCATAAAAATAAAGCAGGAAAGTGGCTAGAGATTGGTAGGACACATACTATTTTATTAGGGTGATCAGAAAAGGCCCTGATGATAAAGTCACTTGAGCAGACCTGATAAAAGTGATAGAGTAGACATGCAGATGGGAAGAACATCCTAAGCATAGAGAATAGGGGAAGGGGTCTGGCAGGAAGGTCACTCCTGAAGATAATGATCAAGGGGAAGAATAGAAGGAGATGTTGTTTGGCAGGTAGCAGAGACCATAATATGTAGGGCTTTGTCAACAATGGTAAAGACGTTGGCTTTTATTCTGAGTGACACAGGAAGCCACTGGAGTGTTCTGAGTAGAGGAGTGTTAGACGTTGGCTTTTATTCTGAGTGACACAGGAAGCCACTGGAGTGTTCTGAGTAGAGGAGTGTTATTATCTGCCCAATAATATAATAGATCATTTGGCTTTTGTGTGGAGAAGAGAGGAAGAAGGCAAAGGTAGAAACAGGCTATTTGCAAAGACCAGGCAAGAAATGAGGGTGACTTCATTTGAAGGGACTATAGGTTGAAGTGACCAGAGGAGCGACAAGTGATTGCATTCTGCATTTGTTTCAAAAATACGGATTAAATGGAGGGTGTGGGAGAAAGAAAGAAGTGAAAGATGATTTTCTGGTTTTTGGCCCGGGTAACCAACTAGAAGCAGAGAGTTGCCATTTACTGTGATGGTGAAGACTGCAGGATGAATAAGATTTTGGAGGAAAAAATCAACAGTTTGATATTGAACGTGTTAAGATAAAGATGTCTGTTAGGCATCCAAGTGAGGAAACTGAGTAGTCAGTTGGATGTTTTCTTCTGTGGTCCAGAGATAAAAATGTGGGAGTCCTCAGGGCCTAAATGATATTTAAAGCCATGGGACCAAATAAAGTCACCTAGGCAGGAAAAGAGTATTGATACAGAAGAGGACCAGCATTGAGTCCTCGTCCTCCAGTGTTTAGGGAAGATGAGAGAGACCAAGCAAAGAAGACTGAAACGGGCTGCTCAGCAATTTAAGTGAAGAACCAAGAAAGTTGTGTCTCAGAGGCCAAGGGAAGAATAGATTTCATAGTGGGTATAAGCTACTGTAAGAACTGTGTCAGATGTTGCCAAGAGGATGAAGATTCTATGAAGCAATTCACTCTCTTCTACTTACACATAGAAGAGGAAAACTTTTCCTGATAAAAAGGAAACTTTAGCTGGGTGCAGTGGCTCCACGCCTGTCATCTCAGCACTTTGGGAGGCTGAGAAGGGCGGATCATGAGGTCAAGAGATCAAGACCCTCCTGGCCAATGTGGTGAAACCCTGTCTCTACTAAAAATCCAAAAATTAGCTGGGCATGGTGGCGCATGCCTGTAGTCCAGCTACTCAGGAGGCTGAGGCAGGAGAATCGCTTGAACCCAGGAGGCGGAGGTTGCAGTGAGCTGAGATCGCACCACTGCACTCCAGCCTGGAGACACAGCTAGACTCCGTCTCAGAAAAAGGGGGTGAAACTTTATATTTCTATAAATGGAAAAGTTTGATTTGTTGGAAATAGAAGGCAATTGTTAAACTATATGACAACAAAATAGTGTTATTGGCTGGGCATGGTGGCTTGTGCCTGTAATCCCAACACTTTGGGAGACCAAGGCCAGGAGTTCAAGACCAACCTGGGCAACATAGTAAGACCCCATCTCTACCAAAATAAATAAATACATAATTAAAACAGTATTATTACATTCTAGATAGACCCTGTTGCTGATTAAAGGCTCTAAGCCCAAGGCCTGCTGGAGATTAGCATTAGAGGAGGCCTAAAGACATTGTAGTGTTAAATAAGAAAATTCCAAAAAATTGAAAAGGGAAATAACTTTCTCACAACGTTATACAATACCTTGGTAGTGCAACTTCTCTAAAATCTCATGTTTGGCCCTATGTTTTATGAAATGCTTCACTAAACTGTTTTGGTTTTTCATTAAGTTTTTTCAATTGTATGCTAACTCCATGACCTAAAATGAAAGATAGGACTCAGTGGTGCTTGTTCCGTTTTCAGGAAGTGTTTTAGATCACAGTTTGGAAAGCCTCATCCACCGCCTTCGTGGTTTGTGTGACAACATGGAACCTGAGACTTTCCTTGACCATGAGATGGTATTCCTTCTTAAGGGCCAGCAAGCCAGCCCATTTGTTCTCAGGGCCCGACGCTCTATGGACAGGGCAGGAGCACCCTGGCATCTGCGCTACCTGGGACAGCCAGAAATGGGAGACAAGAATCGCCACGCCCTGGTGCGAAACTGCGTGGACATTGCCACATCTGAGAACCTCACCGACTTCTTGATGGAAATGGGCTTCCGCATGGACCATGAGTTTGTTGCTAAGGGACATTTGTTCCGTAAGGGCATCATGAAGATTATGGTGTACAAGATTTTCCGCATCCTGGTGCCAGGGAACACAGACAGCACTGAGGCCTTGTCACTCTCCTATCTCGTGGAATTAAGTGTGGTAGCACCTGCTGGGCAGGATGTGGTCTCTGATGACATGAAGAACTTTGCAGAGCAGCTAAAACCTCTGGTTCACCTAGAGAAAATAGACCCCAAGAGGCTCATGTGACTAAGAGGATCTGTCCACATTTGGGGCCTGTCCTTACTTGCTTGAAAAAATGTTTGCTTTTTTTTGGTTTTTGTTTTATTTTGTTTTTGAGACAGAGTCTCGCTCTGTTTCCCAGGCTGGAGTGCAGTGACACGATCTTGACTCACTGCAACCTCTGCCTCCCGGGTTCAAGCAGTTCTGCCTCAGCCTCCTGAGTAGCTGGGATTACAGGCACCCACCACCATGCTCAGCTAATTTTTGTATTTTTAGTAGAGATGGGGATTCACCATGTGGGGTCAGGCTATTCTCAAACTCCTGACCTTGTGATCCACCCACCTTGGCCTCCCAAAGTGCTGGGATTACAGGCATGAGCCACCATGCCCGGCCAAAAAAATATGTTTTAAATGCCCCATTTCACCATTGCCAGGCAGGCATTCTTCCTTCAGGGAGAGGATGGTGAGAATTAATTGGTTCTTTGCACTGTTCTTATGTGGTGATTTCACTTTCATGACAGCCTTTCTACATTAAAGGCTCAGGATGTCACGGAGAATCTATCTAATCCCACTGTATTATTAAAAGGGGAAACCAGGCCAAGCGTGGTGGCTCACACCTCTAATCCCAGCGCTTTGGGAGGCCAGGGTGGGTGGATCACCCGAGGTCGGGAGTTTGAGACCAACCTGGCCAACATGGTGAAACCCCATCTCTACGAAAAATATAAAATTTAGTCAGGCATGGTGGTGGGCGCCTGTAATCCCAGCTACTTAGGAGGCTGAGGCTGGAGAATTGCTTGAATCCAGGAGGTGAAAGTTGCAGTGACCAGAGATGACACTATTGCACTCCAGCCTGGGTGAGAAGAGCAAAACTCTGTCTCAAAAATAAAAATAAAAATAGGCCGGGCGCAGTGGCTCAAGCCTGTAATCCCAGCACTTTGGGAGGCCGAGATGGGCGGATCACAAGGTCAGGAGATCGAGACCATCCTGGCGAACCCGGTGAAACCCCGTCTCTACTAAAAAAAATACAAAAAACTAGCCGGGCGAGATGGCGAGCGCCTGTAGTCCCAGCTACTTCGGAGGCTGAGGCAGGAGAAATGGCGTGAACCCAGGAGGCGGAGCTTGCAGTGAGCTGAGATCCGGCCCACTGCACTCAAGGCTGGGCGACAGAGCGAGACTCCGTCTCAAAAAAAAAAAAAAATAAAAAAAAAATAAAATAAAAATAAAAATAAAGAGGGGAAACCGGAATAAATTAGCTTTTGGAAAGGAAAATTTCTTGTTTGGTCATTTGTGTATAAGGTTTGTAACATTAGAGGCTGTGAGCTTGTGTTATATGGTAATAAAGCCAATGAAGAGAAATGTCTGTGTAATTCTGATTCTTTATTCCTTTACCCTGTAAATTTGGGGTGGATTCATTACCAGTTGAAGCAAAAAAACGACAGTTCCTAGTTTTAATTATGGTAGAGATGAGGATGAGAGTTTTCACCTGTCATAAAAGTAGCACATTTATTGTTGAAAACTTATAAAATACGGTACAGATAAAAAATAACACCTATTATCCAAAGAGAGTACTAGTTCTATTTTGGTATTTATCCTTCTAGTCTTGACTTTTTATAAATTTATGTATATGAAATGTGTTTATTTTATAGAGAAGATTCCATATATACTGCTTTATAACCCTTTTTTCCCATTCATCTATCATTAACATCTTTCCAAGATATTTGTCTACACTCTCCTTTTGTTAAATTTTTTTTTGTTTTTTTGAGACAAGAGTTTTGCTCTTGTTGCCCAGGCTCAAGTGTAGTACTGCCATGATCTCAGCTCACTGCAACCTCCACCTCCCACGTTCAAGTGATTCTCCTGCCTCAGCTTCCCAAGTAGCTGGGATTACAGGCATGCACTACCACGCCTGGCTAATTTTTTTTTTTTTTTTTTTTTTTTGAGACAGAGTCTTGCTCTGTCACCCAGGCTGGAGTGCAGTGGCACAATCTCGACTCACTGCAAGCTCCACCTCCCGGGTTCATGCCATTCTCCTGCCTCAGCCTCCTGAGTAGCTAGGACCACAGGTGCCCGCCACCACACCCAGCTAATTTTCTGTATTTTTAGTAGAGATGGGGTTTCACTGTGTTAACCAGGATGGTCTCGATCTCCTGACCTCATGATCCGCCTGCGTCGGCCTCCCAAAGTGCTGGGATTATAGGCATGAGCCACCGCGCCTGGCCTAATTTTCTATTTTTAAGAGATGGAGTTTCACCATGTTGGTCAGGCTGGTCTCAAACTCCCTGCCTCGGCCTCCCAAAGTGCTGGGATTACAGGCATGAGCCACCGCACTCAGCCAAAAATTTTTTTTTTAAAGCTAGTTTATTGAGTTCGTGTTATGTGTCAGTGCTATCCTAAGTGCTTCAGGTATGTTAAACCCATTTTGTAAACAGGAACTGGTGCATATGGATTAATTAACTTTCCCTGAGCTATACAGCTACTGATTGGCAGAGCTGGTATTTAAATATTGACAAATATAATTGTTATTTCTATTTCATCATATGAATTTGCTATAAATTATCTAATTGAATACTTTATGATTTTCAGTTTGATCCCAATTTTTTTGGTTTTATAAGCCGTGTAACAATAGAGCTTTTATTTTTTTTTTTTTGAGACAGAGTCTTGCTCTGTCACCCAGGCTGGAGTGCAATGGCATGATCTTGGCTCACTGCAACCTCCGCCTCCCAGGTTCAAGTGATTCTCCTGCCTTGGCTTTTCGAGTAGCTGGGATTACAGGTTCATGTCACCATGCCAGGCTAATTTTCGTATTTTTAGTAGAGACAGGGTTTCACCATGTTGGCCAGGCTGGTCTTGAACTCCTGACCTCAGGTGATCCACTTGCCTCGGCCTTCCAAAGCGCTGGGATTATAGGCGTGAGCCACCAGGCCCAGCCCCCCACAGCCTTTTTTTTTTTTTTGAGACACAGTTTTACTCTGCTGCCCAGGCTGGAGTGCAGTGGCACAGTCTTGGCTCACTGCAACCTCTGACTCCTGGATTCAAGTAATCCTCGTGCCTCAACTTCGCGAGTAGCTGGGATTACAGGCGTGCGCCACCACACCTGGCTAATTTTTGTATTTTTAGTAGAGACGGAGTTTCACCATATAGACCAGGCTAGTTTCAAACTCCTAACCTCAAGCGATCCGCCCGAGTCAGCCTCCCAAAGTGCTGGGATTAGAAATGTGAGCCGCAGCGCCTGGCAAGTGTAAACATTAACATTTTCTTTGTGATAAGTACTTTTTTTTTTTTTAACATTTTTTTGTTTTTTTTTGAGGTAGAGTCTTGCTCTGTTGCCCACGCTGGAGTGCAGTGGCTCCATCTCGGCTCACTAAAACCTCCTCCACCTCCTGGGTTCAGGTGATTTCCAGCTAATTTTTGTATCTTTATTAGAGAGAGGGTTTCACCATGTTGACCAGGTTGGTCTCGAACTCCTGAACTCAAGTGATCTGCCTGCCTCCCAAAATGCGGGGATTACAGACATGAGCCACTGTGCCTGGCCCAATATGTACTTGTTACTCTGTGTAAATCTAACTCATAACTTCCAACTTGCATATGCTTTCATACTAATACAAGTATTAGTGTTTAAATAGTGCTTGCTCCATGACAGGTACTTTATTTTTATTATTTATTCATTCATTCATTTTTTGAGACAGAGTCTCTGTCTCAAAACAGAGACTCTGTCGCCCAGGCTGGAGTGCAGTGGTGCCATCTTGGCTCACTGCAACCTCCTCCTCCTGGGTTCAAGCAATGCTCCTACCTCAGCCTCCTGGCTAGCTGTGATTACAGGCGTTTGCCACCACACCTGGCTAATTTTGATTTTTTTTTTTTTGAGACGGAGTCTTGCTCTGTTGCCCAGGCTGGAGTGCAGTGGCGCGATCTTGGCTCACTGCAAGCTCCGACT